CGCAGATCGCAGCCCCCCAGGGATGGCGAGGTCTAATTTGAATCCGCGCGTGGCCCTCACTGTGCTGGGCCCCCCAGCAGGCCTCGAAAATGGCGACAGTTTCGCAGATCGCAGCCCCCCAGGGATGGCGAGGTCTAATTTGAATCCGCGCGTGGCCCTCACTGTGCTGGGCCCCCCAGCAGGCCTCGAAAATGGCGACAGTTTCGCAGATCGCAGCCCCCCAGGGATGGCGAGGTCTAATTTGAATCCGCGCGTGGCCCTCACTGTGCTGGGCCCCCCAGCAGGCCTCGAAAATGGCGACAGTTTCGCAGATCGCAGCCCCCCAGGGATGGCGAGGTCTAATTTGAATCCGCGCGTGGCCCTCACTGTGCTGGGCCCCCCAGCAGGCCTCGAAAATGGCGACAGTTTCGCAGATCGCAGCCCCCCAGGGATGGCGAGGTCTAATTTGAATCCGCGCGTGGCCCTCACTGTGCTGGGCCCCCCAGCAGGCCTCGAAAATGGCGACAGTTTCGCAGATCGCAGCCCCCCAGGGACGGCGAGGTCTAATTTGAATCCGCCGTGGCCCTCACTGTGCTGGGCCCCCCAGCAGGCCTCGAAAATGGCGACAGTTTCGCAGATCGCAGCCCCCCAGGGATGGCGAGGTCTAATCCCACCAGCCCTCTGGGCGTAGGTGGTCTAGAGCAGATCCTCTTCCACCCCTCCCTCTTCCCCCTTGGGGAGGGGTTTACCCCTCCCCCTACCCCCTCCCCTGGACCTGGACGGGGGGGGCCGCGGGTAGTTAGAGCGTCCCAGATGGCCCAAGACGGCTCCAAGAGCGCCTCAGAGAACCCAAGATGAGCTCCAAGATGGCTCAAGATAGCGCAAGATCGCTCGAGATGGCTCCTAAGATGGTTCCAAGAAGCCCAAAGACGGCCCCAAGATAACTCCAAGTGGCCAAACAGCTCCCCAAGGAGGCCCCGAAGAGGCCAAAATCGTCCCAAAACCTAAGGAAAATCAATGATTTTTGCTTTCTCGCCTTTTCGCTTCCGATGGCCATCCGAGGCCTGGAGATGGTTCCAAGATGGCCCAAGAGGGCCCCAAGAGAGCCCCAAAAGAGCCCCAAGACGGCCCCAAGAGCGCCCAAGAGCACTCCAAGAGCGTTCCAAGAGGGGTCCAAGAGGCGATTTTAGGGGCTTCCGAGGGGGGACGCTAATTAAACCCCCCCTCTTGTTTGATCGATCTCCTCCAAGATGGCCCCAAGAAGCGCCCAGGAAGCCCCAAGAGGTCCCAAGATGGCCCCAAAATGGCCCCAAGAGGCCCCCAAGAGGCCCCCCGGAGGCCCCCAAGAGACCCCCAAGAGGCCCCAAGAGCCCCCCCAGATGCACCCAAGATGCTCCAAGAGGCCTCGGCGAGAATGCCTAATCATTGATTCTACACAGGTTTTAGCCACATGGAGGCCTCTTGGGGGGGGGCACGGATTAAGATGACTCCAAGAGCGTCTGGGAGAGCCCAAAATGACCTCCAAGATGGCTCAAGATATCCCAAGATGTCTCATAATGGCTTCCTCTGTGTGCTGCCCACTTCTCTGATCGAGGCAATTCCTCTGGGCATCGTTTCTGGATGGGCTGGTGGGGATTCGCGAAGCGACAACAATTTGAATCCGCGCCGTGGCCCTCACTGTGCTGGGCCCCCCAGCAGGCCTCGAAAATGGCGACAGTTTCGCAGATCGCAGCCCCCCAGGGATGGCGAGGTCTAATTTGAATCCGCGCGTGGCCCTCACTGTGCTGGGCCCCCCAGCAGGCCTCGAAAATGGCAACAGTTTCGCAGATCGCAGCCCCCCAGGGATGGCGAGGTCTAATTTGAATCCGCGCGTGGCCCTCACTGTGCTGGGCCCCCCAGCAGGCCTCGAAAATGGCGACAGTTTCACAGCTCGCAGCCCCCCGCGGGCAAGACAGGAAGAGGCGGGAGGAGAAGGGACGCGACCACACTGCTCTCTTCAAAACGAATACCCAACCAAGGAGGGTTTGGAACAAGAATCCTTTGTGTTCCGCTACAAAAAGAATCCCTTTGCACTCGGCCACAAAAGGATTTTTTGTATTCCGCCACAAAGAAAATTCTGTCGTACACCGCCACAAAAAGAATTCCTTTGTATTCCGCCACAGCTATCACAGCTTTTTAAATGATTTTCAAGCTATGGAAATTAATTTCAATAAAAAGCTGTGAAACCACAAGGTTCCCTTATATTTTTCATTCGAAAATCAAAGAAAACCATGTGTTTTCACAGAGTTTCATTGAAATAACTTCCATCGTTGGAAAATCATTAAAGAAGCTGTGATAGCTGTGTCTGGCCATGGTTTCCCCAATATTTTGATTAAAAATACTGTGATAGCTGTGTCTGGCTATTGTTTTCTTCATGTTTTTTTTTTTTAAAAAAAAAAAATGCTGTGATAGCTGTGCCTGGCCGTGGTTTTCAATTACTATAGTAATTTCAATAGGATTCCCTTTGTGGTGGAATACAAAACAATTCCTTTTGTAGTGGAACGCAATGGGATGCCTTGTGGCGGAGTACAAAGGAATTCCTTTTGCGGCGGAATGCAAAAGGATTTTCATTGTGGCGGAAAACAAAAGGATTTCCTTTGTGGCCGAATACAACGACATTCCTTTTGTAGCGGAATACAAAAGGATTCCTTTTGTGGCGGAATACAAAGGAATTCCTTTTGTGGCGGAGTACAAAAGGCTTTCCGTTGTGGCGGAAAAAAAAAGAATCCCTGTGTGGTCGAATACAAAGGGATTCCTTTTGCAGCGGCATGCAAAAGAATTTCCTTTGTAGCGGAATGCAAAAGAATTCCTACTTACAAATAAATGCATAGGGAGGGTGCCAAAAAAAACGCCAGGCTTATTTGGCACCCTCTATGATCTTTGACCATTTTGGATTTTGTTTTGCATCTTTTTCATATTTCGTCAAAAGACCGCCTGTAAGGGGACATGCCCGACCTAGCCGTACAATAAGGACACACGATAAGGATGCAAGGGCTTTGGAAGACCATGTTTGCGTCGGGCATGTTCTCCCTACAGGCGGATTTGGGGCGATCATGGAAAATAACAGGGAAATGCTCAAACATAGTTATACGATAATCGAAAAATGGCCCCCAGACTAATTTTTGACTACGTTTGAATTTTCCTCCTGTAGAGGGACAAGCCCGACTTAAGGCCATGTCGGCACTGTGCGAGGATTCAGTTTTCGGGTTATACCTCGGGTCTCTGGCGGCCGTTCGGGACGACCCTGGCATCCCCGAAACGCTCTCTGCGAGGCGCAGCCGCTGGAACGCATCCCGAGGCCAGAAATCTGCCGAGAGCGGTCGCCAAAAATTATTTCCTCCTCCTCCTCCACCTCCAAGGATGCAAGGGTAACCCAGGACGGTTGCTCGTCCTTACTGTGCGAGTTGACTGTGCATTGGGGGTCCCCCCTCCGACGGCACCCCACAAGGACGACAATCGGGGATATACTGACCAGGGTCGATCCAAACCAGGGTCCGTCGGGCGTTGCCGGATCCTGCAAAATCCTGCAGGATCCTGTGATATCCTGGCCCTCCCTGACCCCGGTTGCATTGAACCCCGTCTCTTGAGCCCCGAGACAAGGGCCATGGGGAGGCCACACCGGCGAGCCTCCATCCCGAAAACGCTTCGGGACCTACCGAGGAGGCCTCCTGCGGCGGCGCAGGGCGCCGCGGCCTTGCCACCAGCGCCGGTGCGCACCTTGGGCGTTAGTTGAGGGGGGGCGATACATGAGGGGGGGAGAACCCAGAACGCCTCGCGTCACGGAAAAAACACGACGGGGAGTTTTTCGCTGTTTTCGGCCTCCGGGGCCCCCCCACCAGGCCTCGGGGCCGTCGAAAAAGACTCAGGATGAGAAGCCAGTCCCCGGGGGGTCGAGACTCCTGGGGGTCGACGTCATGAAAAAATCATGACGCTGGGGTCTAGGAAACTTGCACCCGTCGTGAATCCCTTTGGGGCCCCGCGGGGCCCCTTCAAGGCACAAAGGTGCATTCCCGCCCCCTTTTCCTTTCTGGCACCCCCCCTTGCTCGACGCCCGACGGCGATGTGATTTGTTCAGCCCTGGGGACGGGCTCGGGAACTCCGAGGCCGTGGAATGCGAAAATCATGTCGGTGGATGTCAGGGATCAGGGGTCCTCGCGGAACCGCTGCGGCCCGCTGGGCCTCGTGAGGGGCGACGGGCCTGGCCAGCGGAGGCGAGCTCGTGGCCTCGTGGCCCCGCTCTGGGCGCCATCTGGGCCGCTCGGGGAGAGCCGGGGCCCCGACGAGCCGCGCCGCATGAGTTTGGCGATCGAGGTTCGTGCATTGAGAAGCCGCCCTCGTCCTCCTCCCCCTCCTCCTCCTCCTCCTCCTCCCCCTCCTCCTCCTCCTCCTCCTCCTCCTCCTCCTCCTCTCGAACTTCGATCTTCGATCCAAAAACCTCGATCCTCCAACTCCTCCTCCTCCTCCTCCTCCTCTCCTCCTCCTCCTCCTCCTCCAACGGCTGGGCTGGGCGCGAATTCGTGGGGGGCGACACGGGGGGAGGGGGGGGGGGGAAAAAGGTGCCCTCTCCGGGCTCTGCAGGGCCTCCCTCTGGCCCCCAACCAGGGGGCCCGAGAGGGCTTCTTTTCGGCGGCCCTCGCTGGCCCCCCCCGTCGGCGTCCCGCCACCAGGCGCCCCCCACAACGGGGAGAGCAGGAGAACACTCGGCGCTGCACTCTGCCTGGTTTTGGGGGCGCGCAGGCACGGATTGGCGATCCACAGATTTGGCGCGCGGTCGCCAAATCCATGGATCGGGGCAGGTGCCCTTCCCACAGTGCGACCGTTGTCGCCTCGTTCGGCGGCGGAGATCCGCGATTTCGCATGGAAGCGGGACACGTTGCTGATCCACGCCCCCTTGATCCATGTTTGCGATCGCCTGACTGGTTGCCCCCTGCTCCGTGAACCTCTCAAACGCCCAGGCGGAACCCCCTCCGCCCGAGCCGCGCCTTCACGGTCCAGCCGTGGAACTGGAATTCCGCGTCGCGCAGGACCTGCTGTGCCGTCGCCACGCTTTCAAGTTGAATGGGAGCGGGACTACTCCCTCCTCCTCCTCCTCCTCCTCCTCCTCCTCCTCCTCCTCCTCCTCCTCCTCCTCCTCCTCCTCCTCCTCCTCCTCCCCTATGAGAGCCATGCCTATTAGTGAACACCTGCTCACACAAAGACGGTGAGCTGGGAGCACTTCGCGATGAGCAAAGGCCACGGGCAGACGCAACACACTGTGTGAGAGGTCACGTTTTCATTATACGCATACAGTGCTACAACCAAATGGCAACATCAATTACACGGACCTGTGCGTGTCAGGCATCTTGCCAAGGATCAATCAAAGCGTAACATTCGGATTTGCGTAACGTGGCTTGCGTCTGCTATATGCTCCGCTAGCGCAAGCGAACACAGCGCACAATGACAACCATTGCAGTGACGACCGCATGACCAACAGATGCTATCTCGATGCGCCGAGCAAATTTCCCGACGCTTCGGCGCGCCCAACCACAACCGTGGGTGCTCCGACCGCAGTCCACACGGCGAGGAAGATCTTCAAGTTCAGCGCAGTCCCGAACTCCCCACCTCATCCCGCCCACAAACTGACATCTTCCCGTGTTCTCTTCCGAAGGGAGGAGGAAAACATGTAGACAAACTCCACCGCCGTGCCCCCCTGGCAAGTTGAGGCGTGGTAGAATGCCAAGTAGTGCATGGGAGGGTTTCTATACAGTGGAGGACCCTGCCTCCCTGTTTGGGGGGTCAGGGCTGGGAACGGCTCCAAGATAACACCCAATCAGCCGATAGCAGCAGCAGCATACAGTGGAGGCAGGACGTCCCTTGATCGTTGGTGCGGTTACGTCAAGCCTTCCACAGCCAAACCATCGAAACCCAAGAAACCTGGGGCACCCTGGAGGCAAGCAAGGTGCTTCTTGGCATGGGCCTCCACTGTAATCGGTGGCGCGCAAACACGGATTAGCGATCCATGGATTTGGCGCGCGTCCGCCAAATCCATGGATTCGGGGGAGGTGTTCTCCCCAAAATGCGGCCAGTGCCGCCTCGCTCGGCGGCGGGAATCCTCGGTTTCCCATGGAAACGGGACCTGTCGCTAATCCACGCCCCTTTAATCCATGTTTGCGATCGCCTGATGTAAACCCTCCAGTGTTCGCTCTGCCTCCGCCGCGCGCGTCGCCCCCTCCCGAGGCTCCCCGGGCCGCCCCGATGCCCGCGGCTTCCCAGACGGCCCCGAAGGCCAAAAGCGGCGCTGCCAGGATGGGCCGACCAACAGCTCCCAAAGAGATCCCACGGGACACCCAAGTGGCCCCCACGACACCTCCAGGAGGTCTTCGGGAGGGCAAACGCATTCATTGATTGCCCCGACGGCTCTTCAATTGCTTTTCGCGTTCCGGGCTCCTCGTCCGAGTCCGCCACCGTGCCCTCCCGACATGTTAAGGCGCAGTAGAAGGCGCTAAGTGCAGTCGGGGCTGATTGGAAAGGACACGCGAGAGGACACAAGACCCTTCGGAGGGCCACATTGCCACAGGAATGCAGAAGGCATGGGTCGCGAAACACACAGGACACATGGGTACTCTTGATTTGGCAGGGCCGACCTACTAATCAGCCTCGACTGTACTGTCTGGTAGGGTTCCTGCAGTCCTCTGGGGGAACCCAAAGCCCTCCGGGCCACGGAGTGCTGCATGCACCGCCCGCCCCTCCGCCCGAGGCCTCCCGGGCACACGGACGCCTCCCTGGCGCTGTCCAGGCCTCTTCGTGGCTTCTAGGGCGGCCCAGGCAAGCCACCGAGGCCGCCGAGACTGCCCAAGAGGCCTCCACGACGGCCGAAAGTTTCCCAAGATGGTCTCAAGACGGCCCAGGGAGCCACCAAAACGGCCCAAAAGGGCTCCACGAGGACCTCCCAACAGATCCGACGCGGTCAAACTCATGGATGCCCCGCACGTGTGCTTCTTTGTTTTCCAACTGATGTTCGAATTCTCGACTTTTCGGGCTTCCGTCAGCCCAGGACGGCCCACGATGGCCTCCAACATTGCCTGAAAACGGACCCGCTCCCCAAACATACCCATCGGTCGGAAGTAGGTAGAAACATGAAATTGGAAGGCGTTGAGGGCAGATTGGGTTTCCGCCCGCCCCCGAACGGAAAAGGTGAAGCCACTCGATCATTGGAGTAGGAAGGCGCCTAAAGTAGATTGGAATCTGGAAATCCACAAATACCTACTTTCAACGACCGATGGGCAATAGGAACACATCAGTGAAACCGCAGGGACAGCCTCTGGAGCTAGCCTAGGCATGCAGCGGCCCAGCCAAGCCGCTGCACCCAAACTGGCAGCCCATAACAAGGCACGAAAGCCGTACCTGCGGCCAAGCATGGCCAAGCCGCAAGGCTCGCAAGGCCCCAAAGGCCCCCAAGACGTTCAAGACCCCCAAGATGGCCCAAGAGACCTCCAAGACGGCGAAACGAGGCCCTAAGATGGCCAAATAGACCCCACATTCGTTCCTTCAGGACCCCACGAGGGCCCCAAGACGGCCCATGAAGGTCTCAAGACGGACTCCGAGGGCGCCAGAAGGCCCAGGCGCGCCCTAAGACAGACGACGGAGTTCCGAAGACGCCCCCAAGATAGAAAAACTACGAGAAGGACTAACAGAAGGAGGAGGAGGAGGAGGAGGAGGAGGAGGAAAAACAGCAGGAGGTGGAGGAGGAGGAGGAGGAGGAGGAGCAGGAGCAGGAGCAGGAGGAGGAGCAGGAGGAAGAGGGGGAAACTAACGACGAACACGAAGAGAGGCACGCCGACACGGACCGGAAGCGCGCACGAGATGTCAAACGTGACGGCTCCCCGCGTGCCCGTCGAGCAATCAGGGGCCACTGATCGGCGGCGAAACCCGGAGGAAGTGAGAAGAAAAAAACCTTCTCAGAAGGCTCGACAATCCCCTGGCCTTCTGAGACATTGTTCTAAGCCTTTCCGGAAAATGCACAAAACCTCCCAGAGATCGCAAAGGCTTCGAAGAAGGCTCGCCGTCTTCTGTGAAGGCCATTTCCGTGTCGCTTCCCCCCTGGCTCGCCGCCGAAAAGAATGCAAAGAGGCCCCTCGACGGCTCAACGTTTCCCACAAAAGGCCTCCAGCTGGCCTGAAATAAAGCCTCGGGAAAGATCCGGCTCGGCCTGAAACGCCGCGCAGACGGCCTCGCTGCCGCGATGGCGGATTTGCCGCAGGCACAATGACCAGGGAACGCAGAGGCGGAGGTAATGATAATAATACGCGTGCACGAGGCATTCGACCACAAGACATCTTCTACAATAAACCCAGTCCTGACACCCCCATGACGCCTGTTGATTTTGGTGCGGGGGCGTCGGGCTCTCCGTAGCCAAATCATCGGACCCAAAAAACCCAGTGCACCCTAGAGGCAAGCGGGGTGTTTCTTGGCATGGGCTTCCACTGTGCGTGGCCGAGTTCGGAAACCCAGAAACTTATTTGCCAGAAGAACGGGATCCTCAGCAAATGCGGGGCGTGAAACTGATACAACATGGGTCTCGTCACTGCTCTGGACTTCTTGTATCGACATGGGGGGGGGGGGTATCCGTTAAGCTGATATGTGCAAGATATGTGTGCAAAGGATGGGGGGACGACGGCGCGGTGACGACCCGGCGCGCTCCCTTTCACACGCGCGCAGCTAGCCCGCGGTGCCAGCTCGTTCCTTCGACCGCATATATCTGCGAAGGCGCAAGATGGCGCAACGGCAGCGGGCGGTGGCGGCGGCGCAGAGACGGCGGAGGAAGATGCTGAACAACTCCCCCCGCGGCGGAATGCGTGGGCCCTTGACTCCCCTCGGACCTCCGCGGTTTCGCGGCGCCCCCAAGGACTTGGCCCCCCCTGGCGCCAACCCCGGAAAACTTTTACGGCGCCGAGGGGGGGGGGGGGGGGAGGCGCATGCAACTGCCGTTTGAGCTCCCTCGAGGAGGGCCGAAGCAGACCGACGAATGCCACGCCTGAACAGTGCTCCGCATCACAAGTGAACGCAGATGTTCGGGATCTGAAACTTTGTCCCGATCTTATCGAGCAGGTAGGTGTAACGCCTGTTGGCGGGGCCTCGTCTTCTTCTCTGCATGCGCCGACGGCTGAAATGCGCGTTGTGCTCGCTGGCGTACATATATTGCCACTTCTGGTCAGCGGTGTCGAGGACCCATTGGGCTCCGTTCCTCGCGCGACAATGCTGGAATGCGTCCTCGCCGCTGGCGCCCGCGGCATCGCGGTTCCCGCGGATCTCCGAGCCAGCTCGGCTCGGCGCCAGCGTGCGTGAGCTCCGCCAGCAGAAGAAGAACGCGCCAGACTTCCTGACCGCAACGCATCTGCTTCGCCGCGCGCGCAGTCGGCCCACCCCCTGCGTCTCGGTGCAGCAGGGGGGCCCGGGCACGGCGGCGCGCCCGCGCGCGCGCGGACCGCGGCTCCGGCCCCGCGGCGCCGACGGCGGCGCAGGCCGCGCGGAGCGGCGAAGCGGCTGCCCAGGTGGCGATGGACGCCGCAGGCGCCGCCCATCGGCGGCCGCAGCAGTCGGCGCGGGCAGCAGCGCCGCAACACTTTGGAAGACACGTTCGTCACCGGCTGAGCCGGTGGCATCGCTGGCAACAGGCTCTGTCCCCACTGCTCCCCGAGGCCCAGCGTGAGTGGAGCCGCCGGCTGAGCTGGCAGCGTCCTCCATCGCGTTCTTTGACCCAAGGGTGCCATCCGCGGGCGCTCCGACGGCTTGCACCGACGGTTCTGCATCAACAGCGCTGGGCGCGTTCTGAACTCGAAGGTCAATCGGCGCCTAACTTCCACAGTAGCTGCGGCGACGCGCATATAGGCGCCAATGGGAATGCCGATATTGGTTGAGCAATGTGCCCCCAAATTCGGCGTGATCGCCGGTCTTCTCCTCGCCCCATTCGACCTGGCTCTCAAATTCGATGGTGCAGGCCTGGATCAGGCGCGAGACGTTCCGTATCTTGGATCTGAGGATGAACCCCAAATCCTGTTTGTACTGCTCTACCAAATCTGTGGTTTTGACAGCCTCTCTTATCTCTGCGTCTGATGCGCAAACGTCCCTCCTCCTTCGATTGGAGCAATGTCCTGGTCCATGAATCTTCCGAGACGACTGGTCAATCCTGGAAAGCCGCGTACCGTTGTCCTGCAGTGCAACCTGCAATGCATTCTCGAACGATGCCTGAGATCCTAAACCATCTCACGCCACGCGTATGGTCAGTTATCGTTTGGTCACAGACATCTACAATCCATGTTGTGCATGTTGCTAGAAGACTGCGGCGCCGACACTCTCCCCTTCCATCAAATGTTCCATCATGTATTGACGTGAGACCTTCGTTGCAGTGCACGCAGATGTTGAGACGGCGATCGCCGCAATTGGGTCAGTAAAAATAAATACGCTGGATCTTGATATCGTAGTTTCCATTTGAAAGACCATCCTCTGGTATTGTGTCTTTGGCGAATGTCGCCTCTGCGCGTGCAAGTTTGAACAGGGGCAGATCATCTGCGTCGTCTCCGTCGCAATGTGTTTTGATGGGCGGGTCGGCCGCGGGAAGTTGT